GCAAATTTTTTAAAAATAAGAAACTTTTTATCTCCAGGCATAGTTTTTCATAATGCACATTTTTCATGAACTTTTGAAGACATCCCTCATACTGGTGGCTAGTAGCTGAGTCTTACCATCCCTAAGTGTGTACTAGGAGCCAGAAAAATTGGCCTGTAGACCAGAAACTCAGTTAAGACATACTCAACTGCAGTCCTCGAAGACATGTGCCCAACCGCAGGTTCGGATCTCTGGCTGGTGGACCTAAAGCAAGCTTAGTATGCCCATGCCCATGCATATGCCCAAGATTTGATGAGCTGGAGGGCTGGAGAAAGGGTTGCAGACTTTGTCAAAGGTGCTCTCTGTCTCTCGGTCTCTCTCATGTATATACTCTATCATGAATAAAATAAACTTTAAAACAAAACAAAACAAAACAAAAAAGCTCAGCTAGCAATTTGGGATAAATTAGAGAATGACTAAACAAGGTTCCTGCCATTCTAGAACAAAATTCTAGATGGAGAAAGTGATAATCAACAGCTAAACAACCATGAAGTCATTTCAGATGACCATAAATGCTTTAAAGGAAATTAAGCAGGATAAGTAAGCAGAGTGACCAAGGTGAGAGTAGAGAAGACTTAAAGATGTTCTTTTAAGATTTAACGCTTGATGGGACCAGCAATCAGCATAATGGCTATGTCGCTGGACTCCCACATACTCCACCACATTTCGAGTCCCAGATACTGTGGCTTAAAACTCATGCTAGGGGGAACCAGTAGTTAGCGTAATGGCTATGTTGCTGGACTCCCACGTAGTCGACCGCGGTTCGTGTCTCGGACCCGGTGGCTTAAAACTCACACGGGGTGCGTGTGCGTGCGTGCCCAAGATCCCGAGAAGAGAATGGAGGAGAAGGGATTGCGGCGTGACCATCCCCCCTGGGGGGTGATTTCTCGCTTTCTGTCTCTATGTCTCTCTCTGTCTGGCGAGCGCACGCGCCCTACAGTGAAAATCTCTCCAAAAAAAAAAAAAAACTCATGCTGGGCACGTGTGCATGCATCCCCAAGATCCCAGGAGGAGAATGTGGGAGAAGGGATTGCAGCATGGTCATCCCCTCCTGGGGAATGATTTCTTGCTTTCTGTCTCTCTGTCTCTCTCTGTTTTTCTGGCAAGCGCACGTGTCCTATAGCAAAAATCTGTCCAAAAAAAAAGAGAAAGATTTGACACTTGAGTTGAGAACTAGATGAGGAGGAGTCAGCCATCAGAACGTTTGGGGAATGCGTGTCTGAGCAGAGGGAACCACACAGGTTAAGCCTAAGTGGTGTGTTGTTCGAATGCCTATAGGATGAGCAATGTAGCAGTAGTGGGATTAGTGGGAAGTGTAAGACGGCAAGCCCTAGGGCCAGCAGAGGTCAAAGTTCATAAAGCCAGATCCTAAGCATGACAGAAGTATTGGGAGGTTGTAGCAGTTTAGAAGTTAGATTTACTGTTAATTAAGACCGTTCTGGATACCATGTGGAATGCAGGGTAGGGCAGAAGGTTAATAGGCATTTAAGAGACTTGCTGGTATCTTGGATTTAGGAGTTTATGGTAGAAGAGATGCAAAATAATTATATTGGAGGCTACATTTATAAGGTAAAAATTCAGGACCAGCAGATGGCATAATGGTTATGCCGTTGGACTTCCATAATGGTAGTCGACTGCAGTTTTAGTCCTGGACCTGGCAGCTTGAAATTCATGCTGGGCGTGTGTGCATGCCTGCCCAAAATCCCAAGAGGAGATTGGATGAGAACATACTGTGGCATAGTCATCACCCTGGGAACTGATTTCTCACTTTCTGTCTCTCTGTCTCTCCAGCAAACACACAGAGAGACAGATTTTTGTCCTATAGCAAAAATATCTCTTAACAAAAAAAAAAAAGTAAAAATCCCATATTCCTCCCTATGCCCAGAGTCCCCTTTGAAATGAAAATCTTAGAAGCTCAGCATTTTATTTTTATAAGGGATATACCTCCCTTTCATAAGCTCATTTTTAATATGACATTTATAAACTATGGCAAACTTTTGAAGTAACATAAATGAAAAGTTGGCTTCTTTTAAAATGTCTAATATTTATGTTACTAAGAGAAGATAAACTTACATTTTTATCTGGGCCTTAGTGGAATCCTTTATCGTTTGTTCCTGTTAAAGTTTCTGACTGGAATCCCATAACCCAAACAATGAAGAAGCTAAGAGTTTTTATGTAACACTTGTCTAGGTGCTTGAGCGTGAAAGGCCCTCTGTACTTTAAAAGCTAATAAAATATTTTTACCATGTGTCTCTGCAACAAAACAAGTAGAAGTCACAGCATTTAGTCAGTATAGATAGCAAATCTAAATGGAATACTTCAAAGGTGGCCTTGTCGAGCCTTCTACCAGTGCTTTGGTTTATGCCTTTCTTGCCTTCGTTTTGACGCCTTTTTCGATACCGTTCCATTTTTTTTTTCCCCAGGCATAGATGTAACACTGCAAAAGACCAGCACACAGATTTTACTTAGGAATGGGCTTTGTCAGACCGTGGTTACATGACACAGAGCATATGTAACCATCTTTCCATCGGGCACTCTGAGATCTGGTTTCCTTCTGATTAAAACAGAGATTAGCCTAAGTAATCCCAATACTATTCCATTCCAAGATTTTAAAACTGTCCCTCTACTGATTTTCACACATAGTCAACATAATCCATTACGCACTTTAATTGTTATTTTTGTGTTGATAACTTACTAATCTGCAACTCAAGTTCACATCTCTCTCATGCGGTACCGTCTCACCTAGCAAACATCCTCCCGAAGATCTCTACCTCTACATTGTGTAGGTCTCTCAAATGCACTATATCCTAGAGGACTGACAGATTTCCCCAGTACCTTGCTTCATTTTCTCTGTATTCTCCTCATGTTATCCAAGCCTCTCTGAGTCTTCTGCCTCTGCTTTCTTTGCAAGTGACCATGTACGTGTCTTCTAAGACTCCACTCAAGAATCACCTTCTTAGAGACAGAAGGTTCATGCCCTGGTTAAATGCCCTGCTCTGAAAGGCAGGCCCACATGGGAAGGTTACTGGTTTGTGTCTAGAGATGTCCCTGAGAGCCTCAGGTACACATGTGCCCATGATCTAGTCTGGTTGAAGCTGGAGGTGGATCATGGTATCAAGATCTTGTCGAGTGCTTTCTCTCTCTCTCTCTTGCACCCACAGAATTAAGAAAAAATCACCTATTATATGACTCCTTTCCAAGCCCATTCCTCTGCAGATACAGCTGTTCACTGCCTTCCATGATGCACCAATTAGACAGGTGTCAGAGTACCTGCAAGAATTTACTGTACCTATTTATCTATGTGTCTGCATTTTGAACTCCTTGAGAACAAAGATAGTTTCCCATTTCTTTGTGATTCTATCCTCAGCATAGTATGTGATTAACAATACTGAATGAATTAGCAGAAATGAAGACCCTATAATCTGTGGCATGTTCCTATCGTAATCGTACCTGGTTTATGTCTTCTCACCAATAGTCTCAGGACATGGAGAAGACACTGGCTCCTTTGCTTGTGGCTAGGTCTCACTTGCTCACCTGCTGATGATGACTCATAAATGCTAACTTTCATTTGCACATAGCTGTGTACTGTAAGAATTCAGTGTCCTCTTCATGTATATGAGGGGGCTTCAGAAAGTTCATGGAAAGTAGAATCCAACTACGACTTTATTTCCATGCAAAAAAAATTTATTTCAGATTTATGTATAGTTTTTTGTTACATGCATTTTCCATGAATAAGATCTTCTGCATTATTTTGTAGAGTTCCAAAAGCATATTTTCAGTTTCTTTCCTATCTTTTCCTAAGGTTGAGATTAGAATTATGAAGTCTAATCCATTTTTAATGCATGTTCACAGTCGACTCAGTTCTTCCTTGGTAAACAACTGAAATTTGCTTTAACATAGACATTTATATATAAACCAGTCTCATCATAAGCAATTAACAAATGCACTTCCAGCTCCTCAAAATGTTAATGAAATTTAGACCTGATATTTAGCTCTCTTTCAGTAAGTAGATTTTGGTAAATAAGTTGTCAGACTTGAGTAGCTGAATGTTTCTCAGCATCATCTCAAAATATATTCCTTTGATTTCCTGGTCAAGCTGGAATAAATTAACCAAGGTGATTTATTGTACCAGGGTCAGAATCCTGTGCCGTATATTAATAAAATGCTAAAATCAGCTTTCTTTCCCATTTTTTTTAAACTTAATGGTGTTGGAGTGATGAAGCTGAGAGTCCCATACAGTGGGAGACAAGTTAGCCTTTTAAGTGAAGTTCCTTTCTGGAAGGTCCATTGCTTTCAGGCTTGTCTGAGATAACTGTCTTTCTCAGGTCTGGGAAGAGTTTCTTTCCTCAGCTCTCTAGTACTCGGCCACTCTCACAGTCATTTCCTTCCTGTTGCCGTTCTTCCTGACACTTGTTGATCGAGTCAGAAACAGCCCTTAGAAAATTAGTTCATCTTTGAGAAGATCACTGATTCTATGGACTCACCCTGAAGACAGGACAAAACAGGGTACAGGACCTAATTTAAACCAAACGAGTATCAATTATGATAATAATTATTATTCTGTATTAAGCACTTTATTAAGTGCCAGTTGTGATTACATAATTGATGCATTCAGTTCTCCAAATAGCCCTATAATTTAAGCTTTCCATTCCAGCTTGTTACAGATGAGGAAGGGAAAGATCAGAGAGGAGAAGGAGATTGCCTGAGGTCACACAGCCAGTATATGGTTGATTTAAAATTTGGACTCCTATCTGCACATTTTCTGTTTCCATGTCTTGAGTGAGAAGAGTCCTTGAACGAGATGCTTAAGACAAATGGTGACCTGTTTAGTGGGAATGTAACCCTATTCCAGTCATCACTTAGTTGGAATAAAATTCAGAAGGCTGAGATGTTGAAATTGTGTACGTAATAAGTGGAGCAGAGGTTTGACTGACTCACAAGGAGGTTTCTTTCCCTTTTAGGAAGATTTCCAACCCGCAGCAGCCTCAGAGACCAACTGGGAATCAGTCACAAGTTCTATCTCAGTAAGTAATTTGTTTCTCCGTTGCCAGCAAAGGAAATTGACGGAACAACTAAGGTCAACCCCAGAAGGACTCCAGCTGCATTAAAGAGCTGTGGCTTGACCAAAAGCCAGATCACAAGCAGGATGTGTTCTAGTTCATTCAGGTTAGAGCAGGTTAGGTCAGACACCTTTTTCCATTCTTTCAGAATGGCTTCCAGGAATTGCCAGCATACCATTGTAGGAAACTGGGATAGACAATAACTTCAATATTTGTCAATTTCAAGGCAAAACATTCCACCAAAAGGACTATCCGGATACAACAAAGCTGTTAAGCCAGTCCATGGCCCAAACTCAAAAGGGGAATTTCAAAATAGCATTTTGCATATTCCAGGGGAAGCTGATAGTCTTTGCATTTTCAAAGGTATTTTCAGACATGAAAAATCCCATTGTTTACAGTAAGATAACTTAAGAGCAAATTAGGCATGTATTCTATTTAACTTGGCTATAAAACTCAAGTCACCCTGCAGCTGTAAAATAGTTTGCACCCCAATGTTTTCTCCAAATTTAGTCACCTCTCAGTATTCTGTCTCCTTATCTACTTTGCCTAGAAAGAGCAGACCTTGTTTCTACCAGTCCTACATGTGGGCTTATGCAGCAATAAAACACAAGATAATAAATGCAGTGGTTCATAAAAAGGTCAAGAGCATGGAGGAAGCTTGTGCATGATTCCAACGTGGGCCCCTGTGGCTGAGTCAAGTTGATTTTTTTTTTTCCTGAAAGGTATATGCTGTCTTTTGCTTTCTGGGAGATTTTTTTCTTTTTCATTCCCTAACATAGCAGATTTTCTTACCTGTGGATTCTGTGGCTATGTAGTTCATCTAGTGTTATGACTATTAGATTTGAACATCATTTGATCAAGAGATCAGTGAAGTCTCTGATGGTGATACCAAGAGCTTTTTGTTTGCTATTGGCAGTCCAAAATGTGTGGTCTGAACTAGCTTGGTGTAGGTAGTCATGGCCAGTTGGGTGGTAATCAAACCAAGGCAAATAACACTGAAGAG